GCTATCCTATTCCTCGTGTATGTTTCGTTCTCTCACGTTCCCATGAGGAGAAAAATGCCTCTTTGTGTTCAGTGGCGTTCCTTTTTGTGCTGTTTTGAAGCTTTTATTTCATTTATATCATTAATCAAAAGCAACAATTTCTGTTCCGGTGTCAGAAACACTGCCTGAAGTCATACAACTTCTAAAAGATATATATATTTTTGTTACATGTGAGCTTACTGTACCTCACACATATTGTATTTCGGCTCAATCCCTCACAGCGTCTCCTTATGGTGTTCATTTCTCATGTTCTCCCTCTTTTCTTCTCATCTCCAGAACTTGAATCAGAACCCTCGCACTTTGCTGCCCAAGTTTTTCGGCCTCTACTGTGTCCAGTCAGGTGGCAAGAACATCCGTGTGGTTGTTATGAACAATGTCCTCCCCCGCGTGGTGCGCATGCACCTCAAGTACGACCTGAAGGGATCCACCTACAAGAGGCGAGCGTCCAAGAAGGAGAGGGAGAAGGCCAGGCCCACCTTCAAAGACCTGGACTTCATGCAAGACTTGCAGGATGGCCTGATGATGGACCAGGACACTTGCAATGCCCTGACCAAGACCCTGCAGAGAGACTGCCTGGTGAGAAATATGAATATACAGCTAAATGCAAATACTAGTTTTAGCTTTTTTACTTATGTTTTCTGTTGAGACAGACAGCAGGGGAGGAGATGGTGAAGTTGGTTTGCTTGTTGTTATGCAGGATCCGTTAAATGGCTCATAAAGAGTAATGGTAGAGGAAGAAGCATATAAAAAGTGTTTAAAAGGAAGAGTGGGGAAGCCCATGATACTCATTGTGCCCTGATCGATAAAAGAGGATGGATGAGAGTAAAAAGGGGAGCTGGAACGGAAGAAAAACTTTTCTTGAGGTTATGATGTTTGGCATTCCCAGGACCCCTTTCTATAAATTAGAGCTGTGTTACGAGTACAAGGTTTAACGAGGTGTCTGGTCTGGTAGCTGACTGGCTTTTTCTTTTGTAAAGGGTCTGTTGTTTCCATTTACAGTACTCGGAAAGCAGTGTGTGTGCACTCACTGGCAGTCACATACATTGTTTATCAGTGTGGGCATGCCCATGCACCACTCTGTCTTGTGTATAGCATTAACATCTCCACGGTTATTGGTTTATATCCCTCTTGGTGACATGTTAAAATAATAAAAAATAAAAGCTTTCAGTCAGGATTTAGAAGCTGCGTGTCTCATAGGTACTGCATGCTGACAACTATCTTTGCCTGTCCTGTGCTCAGGTGCTGGAAAGCTTTAAGATCATGGACTACAGCCTGCTGCTTGGGGTCCACAACATCGACCAAGCGGAGAGGGAGAGGCAGATGGAGGGCTCCCAGGGTGACAGCGATGAGAAAAGGCCCGTGGCCCAGCAGAAGGCTCTGTACTCCACAGCCATGGAGTCCATCCAGGGGGGAGCTGCCTGCGGAGGGTCTATTGACACAGACGACACGTGAGTTTGGCCAGAGAGGAGAAGAGCAGAGGCTTTTGGGAGTGCATGTCTCCGACTTTCCGCATTTATACGAGCTAACAACCTGAAGGATAAATAACAATGTTAGAACTTATTCATCTACCTTTATCTCTTACTCTCCCTCCTAAAGTTATTCTGCTTTCAGTCGTTACGCTTCTTCTCTCTCTTCAGCTCTTTGTT